GATAAACGATCCCTGGTGTCCCGCCGTAAAAAGAGGGCACAACAAAAGTTATAATCACTTGTACGACAAAAATGCTAAAAATTATAAAGACAACATAATGAAGAACAAATCATGGGAAGAAATTGCAAAAACATGTAACATATCAGGTATGTTTTTAAAATCGTTTCGTATATAGAAATATAATCTAAAAATAATTTGAAAAAAATATTTAATTTTTCATAGCCGAAGAAGTACAAGAAAGGTGGAAAAGATTAAAAACTAGGTACTCCAAACAAAGAAGATTAATTGAACAGGCAACACGCAGCGGCAGTGGTATACAAACAATTAAACAATGGCCGTTGTTCAAAATCATGAAATTCATGAATAAACACATCCAGAGGAGAAGGTATAAATGGATGAAAAATCGGTTATGTTAATGGTATATTAATTATTGTAATTACTGTTTTGTAGGAACTTCAGCAACGTTTTATTGCGACCTGGCATCAAATCTGAAAAGAATGCTTCGGAAAAATTGAATTTTAGTCACCAAAACGAAAGGTTTTTTTTTATAAAATTCTGTCCTTTATTAATTATTAGTTTTTTCTCTATTGTATAAGAATATTTATTAGTTACCGAAAAAGGACTTCATTCTTACAGTTTAATACGTATTATGGTTTTATTTGATAATTTAATAAATATTAGTTTTTAAAAACAAAGAAATGTACGGTTTGTTGAAAAGTAATGTTCTTACATCAGAGTGTTATGTATAATGTTCTCATTATTTATTTGTTTTCAACAGGGAAAGTACATCCGTATGTCAACAAAGTCCCAACATAGCTCAATTTAATCAGGAATTTAAAAAAGTCCAGAGCAGATCTGCAGAAAGCATCCAGATGGAGAGTCAAGCCCAGATCATGTAAGAACATACAATCGAAACGCTTAATAAAAAGTAAAGGATACAGGGAAAAAACAATCAATGTTTATCCTGAGTTATTTCAAGAAAAACGTAATTTTAAGTTTCAAGACATCAGATATATATAGAAAGCTATTGAAAAAAGTACTGGTGAATATCAGACTGCAGTGTTTACATTGTATGTTAAACTGATGGTTTTTCCTCACAAGTGCATGGATTATGATCGTTTTTCCTCCAGCACGGTACATTTTTCGGCATTATTTGTAACTGATGATTTGTAACTGTTCTTAATAAAAACAGATAAGAATTATGAGTTCTTTGTTACAAGATAGCATGACCAGATTAATTTCGACAAAAAGTGGACATAAATCGATTTCCTTGCACCGTTCAAATAAACATTAAGAAAAAAAATCCTCCTTACCCAGGAGGGATGCACCTTGGAGCATGTACCCACCAACCATTGGAGCTGCGTCAAGGACCTCGGAATTGTCAGCGCATCATAGTTCCGGAGGGATTGGCCGTGTGCGCATTGAGGGGGCGTGTTAGGAAGTTAAGTTCCCGCGGGCATGCGCCCACTCAGTCCGAGTGGCGCCATCCGGCGTCGTGCCCTAACCTAACCATGATTATCGGGAGTTTGATCGATATCTCGCGATGAATGTATATCGACGAAAAGGCGACCGTTGCGCTCATGGCGACTTCCGCTCTGCACTGTCCTGTGTAATCACGACCGGCGATACACGCGAGCTTTGTAACGTACGCAATAAATATATCTATCCGCAGTGAAGTTAATTAGTGATCTGTCTCTGTTACCGCGATTGATTTCCCATCTCGGTCCCGAAGTATCCTTATCAAATATCTTATAAGTTACTACAAAAGTAAAGGTGCCTTTTCATGCTGACGCTCGACGCTCATTTTCAGCGGCAAGAAGGTCGCATGACCACAATTGACGCCGGCGTCAATTGAAATTCATGAAAAGGAAAACAGCGTCAAAATTTCGGCGTCTTTGCGCTGCTTTGGCTTTGACGCTTAAAGCTGAGAAAATCCAGCTTTCTTTGCTTGACGCTAGCGTCAGATCGAAATCACGTGATCTCGCGATACGCTGAAACGAGCGTCCCATGAATTCGCACCTTTACGCTCGTGTAAATATAAGTGAGTTGTCGGATACCTTATTGTAGACAGTTATAATGACAGTTGTTGTCGGAATGACATACTTTCTCGTAGTTTTTTTTCCGCCAAGGTCGTGTACTCGTGTTGCCGAAATCCAGTTCGAAGAAACTTAATAATGTTCTACTTGACGCGTTTCGAGTAGATCTTTTACGTGGGTGCTAGTCACTAGATTTATCTTCACCTTTTGATATGTCGCTTGTACAAAAACTTTCTCGCACATTCCTCGCACGACTATTACGCTTGCGGACACTCTTTCCAGTCCGCGCTCTTTCCTTTCCGCCTGATGGCGTGATTGGTACGCAACTGCGTAGAAAAGAAAACTGAGGACATGGAGGAGAGGCGGAAGGTTCTGGAAGGTGACAAAAGATGATAAGGAATGGAAGCGGAGAAACGGGAGACACCGAGAAAACAAGGTTAGAATGGAGCAAAGAAGGAAGAAGGCAGAGAGAGATGTGAAAGAAGGAATGAAGGCGATTCGGCGTGATAGAGACGGAGAGGTGCCAGGGCGTAAAGGAAGCGGTGAGCGGGCGAGTTGGCACGCTGCATGAAGAGGCGGAGTAGATGGCGTGCTCGGCGACGGAATGGAGACAAGGTTGGAAGTCTGTTGGCAACTTTGTATGACAAAGCGAGGGCAGTAGAGAGAGAGAGAGAGAGAGAAAGAGAGAGAGAGAGAGGGAGAGGGAGAGGGAGAGGGAAAGAGAGGGGGAGAGAGAGAGGGAAAGGAAGAGAGAGAGAGAAAGAGAGAGAGAGGGAGAGAGAGAGAGGGAGGGAGAGGAGGAGAGGGAGAGAGAGAGAGAGAGGGGAGAGAGAGGGAGAGAGGGGGGAGAGAGAGGGAGAGAGAGGGGGAGAGGGAGAGAGAGAGGAGAGAGAGAGAGAGAGAGAGAGAGAGAGAGAGAGAGAGAGAGAGA